AGTATGGCCAAAGCCGAGGGGTGACAAATGTTCATTACATAGCTTTTTCAAAAATTGACTAAGTACAAATCTTCTCGGCGGCTTCAGCCTCGTTGTCTCCTGGGGCATCTTCCACGACAGCCTTGGAGGAGACTTCTTCCCCGGCAGCATCACCTCCGACGGCTCCACCCCCATCACCCCCCATCATCACAGAATCATAGATTGTCGGCCGCTCTTCACCCGGGGGGAGGGGAACTCTTACGTCTGGTTGCAACGGAGGGAGGCCGTATGCTGAGGGGTCGAATTGTTCGAGGGACACACCAAAGTGCCTGGCAAGCCTCCGGTAGATCAGGTGCTGGGTAAAGAACTCACCCCCCTGGTAGTAGGCGTCGCCCCTGTCAGTCAGCCAGTCAACCCCGGGGCCTTCTACCCAAGCATCCACCGAGGCTGCCACCACGGAGGCCACCCACTCCTTGTGGCCCTCGGCCCTCCAGCCCTCGGCGAGGAACTCCGCAACTGCCTCCCCTCGGGCCTCGGCCGCAGCTCTCTCCTTGGCGGTTTGGGCTTCATCGGCAGCTTTTTTCGCCGCCTCGGCAGCAGCCCTCTCGGCCTCTGCCTTGCCCTCGGCTATGCCGTCAGCCTTGGCCTTCTCCGCCGCCGCCTTCGCCTCCCGAAGGGCCTCCTCCAGCTGGGCAACATGCTTCACCGCCTCGGAGTTCTTGCGGATCAGCCCCTCCATCTTCTTATCCTGGGCAGCCTCGTGAAGACGCCTTTCCTCGCGCCTCCGGGCCTGTTCCCCGAGGGCTATGCAGGCCTGCAAACAACGATCAAAGGAGTTAGATTATTCCTCAGGAAAAAATAATACTAAACTGATAAGATAAGGAAAATGGAAGCAGATACTTACAGTGAGCGAGGACCGGAGGATCCTGTTCTCGAGGGCATCATCATCGTAGGTCTCGAAGACTTCCCTGTCCATCTTCGAGGTGATGCCCCGCAGGAAGGCCCTCGGCTCGGCAGTGCCGTGCATCAATGAAGCGCCGGGGGCAAAAGAGAGCTGACGGATCTCCCGGGGTGCTTCCTCCGGGGATGGATTCACCAGAGCCTTCGGGGTGACCGAGGCTAGGGGCCCATCAGCAGCGGGCGCGTCATCAATAACTATGAGGGGGGCCGCCCCCTCGACGGTGCCCACGGCGGCTTTCTGCTTCTTGGTAGGGGGCTCCACCCCCTTATCGCTCCTCTTCTTCTTAACGGCCGCCTCGGCCTTCGACCCCCCGGTCCCCACAGCAGCATGGGCGTCCCCGGCGGAAGGCTCTATGACCTTCGGAAAAAGCACGTCGACTGGCTTCTGGCCCGAGGGCCCCTTCTCCTTTGGCTGGGTCTTGCCCTTCCTCTTCGCGAACAGGGCGTTGGCATTCATCCTGCTACCTGCAAAGAACGACAGCAACAAGTTGAAAGGTTAGAACCGAGGGGTCAGAGACACGACAACAAACATGACAGAAAATCTCTAAGTACAAAAATGTAAAGCCCCCGGCCACTACCTCCTGCTCCCACGAAGGCTTTATCGTAGAGGGGATACTTCTCATCGGTCTCCCCAATGAACCGATACCTCAGGAATCCGAGGGCATGTAGGTCTTCCTCGAGGACGCACTCCTTGATTGTTATGTTCTTATCCCGACCCTCCGGAATCTTGGCAATCTTCAGGCCATCCTTATCGAGGGCGGCACTCTTGACCTTCACGTGGCGCCGAAAGCGATTCCGCAACTCCCTCGGGAAAGGGCTGTCAGCCAGTCTGACATAGCACCATCGCTCTCTCCACCCTTTATTAGAAGAAGGGGCCTCGGTGAACAGTTTGAACTGGGCTATCTGCTGTAAGTTTGCATAGCCCTCGGCATTTGTATGCCCCCCCCCGGCATAGGTTGAAGCTTTGGAAGAATAACTCCAAGCTCGGTGTAACCTTCCGGAGTTTGCACAGGTTCACGAACCCCGTTATGTACGAGTGGCTGTTGGGGGTCAGTTGGCAGGGAACCAGGCCAGTGTACCTCAAGTACTCCCGGAGGAAAGGATGGAGAGGGAACCGGAGGCCCATTGAAACCGAGAGCACGTGCACGACTATACATCCCTCGAGAGGCCGGGACAGCACGTCATCAGGACCTGGCTCGACTACTACGACCGAGGGCCTTACGTGCAACTGGGTGATGTAGATGTCCGCCCTGTCAGCTTGGGACTTAATCTCCAGAGCGGCGGTGTCCAGGAAGGAGTAACCCTCCGGCAGATCTACTGGCCCCCCTTGATCGACGGCCTTTACTTTCTTCTGGGGGCCAGCCTTCGTCTTCCTCCTCTTCTTCCCGGGGGCTACACTCAAAGGCGTCGGGTCCAGTGGCCTCGAGCTACTTGCTTCCCCAGAACCCCGGGGGGGAAGAACAGCGACAGTGACCTTCGCCCTCTCCTTTTCCTCCTCCTCTTCAGCAACTTGGACGGCGAGGGCCAACTCTTCATCCTCGGCGGTTCGCTCGAACTCCTCCGCCTCGACCTCGGCCACCAGATCCTTCTGCACCTCGGTGGCGAGAGCTGCATCACCACCACCCGAGGGCTGACTGCTACTGGACTCCATATCGGATATGCTTTCGTCCTGAACCGAGGGGGTCCTCGAGATGTCCTGAGAGTCACTCTGGGACGACATTCTAACTCTAGCTCGAGGGTTCGGGGGAACTAAGGTTTCTAGGGAATTCTATCTCCTAACCCGAGGGCACAATGCACAGCTATACTAGAAGGAGAAAGGCAGGGGGCACTGACCTCGAAAGCTGAGTTTAGGTCCGAAGGCTTGAGTTTCTCTCTCTAGAATTTTCGGCAGAGCTTCGCTAAGACAAATGATCGCACAAGAAGGAATGGCCCTGGCCTTGGGGTATTTATAGGCACTGGAATCCGGGCTTGGGCCCGGAAACCGGGCCTCCGGATGGGCGCCATCATTACACACCGCGTCTTCGCCCAACCAGTGACGCCGCCCACGGACAGCCAGCCATCACACGCCACGTGTACCCCCCCCAACGGCTATGAACCTGACGTTACATATTCCAACGGCTGTAAATCTGACGCTACATATTCCAACGGCTATATTCCCAACGGCTATATTCTGGAAGCCCCCGGGTTTTTTACTTCACTCCACTTCATCGAGGATAGCCTCCGGGTACACTTACCCAGAAGCGCCCCTGGGCTGTGCCCCACACAGCACATAATAGACGCCTTCGGGATCACTCCTTCAGAAACCCAGGGCTTCATATCAGGGCACCCCTCGGGGATTCCCCCTCAGCACTGCAAAACCGGGTAGCCCCCGGGGAGTTGCCTCATTTACGAATAACCCATGGCACACAGGTAATGGGATCCCTCGGGTATCTTCATCATCAACTAATCAACACACAGTGGATCCCCCGGTAACAACTCCATTGCCGCCCTCATCCAGCAGGCCCTCGATCCCCGAATTGAGGGGCTCCCCTTCGGCGCCACCAGGACATCAACAGCAAGCCTTCGGCTAATCAACACAGGAGCCCTCAGAAGAGAGAGCCTTCGGCATTCCCGTTATTCTCCATTTTTTACCAAGGTTTGACATTTTCGATTCATCATTGGGGGAATTCGGTGCACTCTTTTTCCCTCATTAGGATTTTTTCCCACAGGGTTTTTCCTAATGAGGTTTTTAACGAGGCATCCCCCCAAAATGAAACGAAAAACGTCAGCCTTCGGCCCACAACAGCAACGCAACTACTCTACTCCTTTTCACCACTTTACAAGTGCCTCAAGGAGTGGGGGACTGGAGGACCCCCTCGGGAAAATCATTAAATTACAAAATTAGTGAAATTCCAACAAACGACAAGGCAAGCCCTCAAGTCCCGACATGTGGGTAACTGAGGGACTGCCTTCGGCAGGGACATAAAAGCAACAACTCCTCACCAACTTCAGAGATCACGACGGGACAACATCAAAGGGCAAGCACAAATTACTCCTTTTCCCTCAAGTACCTTTCGGCAAAAGGAGTGAGGGACTCCTGATGGAGTATATGGCCCGGGAACCCCCGGCCCACAGACTCCTACTACTCCAGCGAAGGCCCAACAGGCCCAAAAGGCCCAACAGGCCCAAATCACAGCGCCCAGAGTACCAAGCAGCCCGCACTACGCGCCAGGGGTGCCTTCGGCCCCCTGGCCGAAGGCTCTAAACTCTCACAGAACGGGTTTCTCAAGCAAACTAAGAAACTGGGAGAAAACGGCGAAAACAGTAGCCCTCGGCACTGTGAGCCCTCGGCACCAGGGTGCCATCGGTTGGAGGAGCCCTCAGCTACTGCTCTATAGCCGAAGGCATCTCACTCGACAAGATATCCGCCTCACATGCGTACAGATCACCGTACCCTGTACAGACGTCCCATCCAACAGCCGCATTAAATGCGGCCACATGCGGCTGCCAGCGCCAACCAGTTGAGGTGACCCCTCGGCCAATGAGCGCTTGACACGTGTCCCTGTCCGGCATTTATTGCTACTATAAATAGCACCCTATTTCCCCATTTGTAACCACGCTGAAAACGGCATTCATACTGAATACACACTCTCTCTACATTTACTTGCTTGCTCCGACTTCTCTCTAAGTTATTCCCCGCAATAACCCTTCGGATATATACCCCCGGGTAGACTATCCATCAAGTCCAATTTAAATCCTCCCAACGTAACGTCGGGTCGGGTAAGAGCTCAGATTGAGATTAGAGTTCAATTTACATACTAAAACTAAACCAAATACTCTCTCCCGTCCTAAATAAACTTCACACTTTGACTTCACACAAATTAAGGAAATAAATTTGACTTTACTGTAGAGTACACTGTTGTGACACTGTTTGACACTGTTTTGTAGTGTTTTGATGTAGATAATTTGGCAAATAAGGAAGGGACAAGAAGTGTGAAGTTTATTTTGGATTCAAAGAAGTGAAGTTTATTTTGGATTCAACTATTAACTAAACCAAAGCGCTCAACAGCAAACAGTTTCCTGTAAAATAGAAGCGGGACTGAATTGATTCTTGCAGCACCCAGCAGGCAGGGCTTGCAGAGTTGCAGCTACACCTGGCTTGGACAGGCGCATCACCAACGACGACTATTTCGGCAGACCGGCAGTCCTACGTTTTCGCTCTGGAGCCGCGCAAGAAGTAGAGCACGACGCAGACGGCCGTTCCGAATCCCCCGCCGTTCGTCCAGGTGGTGCCGCCGCCTAGAGTCCGGCATTTCATCTACGCAAAAGCGTAGCAAGAGTTAAGCAGTTCAGTGTTCCAATTCCGGAAGTCGGGAATATTTTCCGGAAGATTCAATCCGAAAAGTGCAAGGTCAGTAATCTTCAAAATTACTAATTTGAAATTATTATTCTGTGAATTATAATAGTACACTAATTACTTATCCCTTACCGAAGTTGTGATTTTGATATTGGATTTGTGAATTTAATTGGTTCCCTAGTGAATTTAGTTGTGTGTGGTTTCTGTCAGGTACCAATGATTTTGCTCATTCCCATTTGTATGATATGATAGTTTATATTTTGATATGACCTGTATGATTTTATTGAATTGCTGTCAGATGAGAAAAAATCGCAAGGTGAAAAGCAATTCCAACTCCAAGCTAATAAAATCCCGGAAGAAGAAGTTGGAGAAGCTCAAGGTTTTTTGTTTTACCAATAGGCAGTTCTAAAGTTTCTCTCATTAGTTTTCTGAGTATTATTTATTTCCATCAAAATCTCTGGGACGTTAGTTTATCAGTTAATTGTTTCACTCTCACTCAGGAGGACAAGGAAAAAGCTATCCTTTTATCTAAAAGCATGGAGACCTTGGAGTAAGAACTGCTTTTTTTTATAAGATCTACTTTTTTTTTCTTGTAATTTTCTTTCATTTTGTGAGTATAATTTCGAAAAAGCTAATCTCTAGGTAGGCATTCATGTAATTAAAAGCGGCAGTCTGGTGTTTTACATTGCAGGAAGTATAAGATTGGGGATGGTGCATATTCACTTTTGAGGTCTTCAAGAAACTTGGGCCAGGTTGGTAATGTTACATGGAATCACTTTCAATAAACTCAAACCATAAAGTAAAGTATTTCTTATTTAGTCCATCTGCTCTTGTTTTTGCTAGGTTGAAACTAACCGGGATAAGAGAAGAAGAGAAGTTCAATATTCTAAAGCAGGACTAGAAGTACCAAGTGGAGATCAACCCTTTAAGAAGAATAAGAACAAGATTTCTAATAGCATATTAAGTGATGCTGAACAAGAATGTGATGAAACTCAATCAACTTCTCCTGTCATCAATGACTATATATTGCGTGCACCAGTAAGCAAAGGATATACATTGTCTGAGGCATCTTCTTGTCTAGGAGCCTCTAAACCTCATGTTTCCGATGGAGGTTCTTCAACAACAGTTAGGCATGCAAGAACAGATGAATATAATGAGCCCTCAAGGACTGAATATCTGCAATACCCACCACCATCCACCCCAAGTTGCATTGATGATGGAAGGGCAGGATTAAAGGTTACATCTTTATCTATATTATAGTACTCCCTCCACTCTTAAATAAAGGCCCATATAGGAAAAAAATGTGGATTTTAAGGAGAAAGTTAATTTGTTCAAAAATTGAAAAATGTACCCTTGTTGATTTCTAGGTGCTAGTAGGTAGTAAAACTAACAAGTAAACGTGAAACAAACATGAAAGGGTAACTTGGTCAATTTATAATGTTTTTTTACTGGATTGTTTAATGGCCAGTTGTACGTGAAAGTGTTTTTTTATTTGAATTATTTGAGATTGGGAGTGAAGAGGAGCCTTGGTACACCGGTTAAGGTGTTGCTGTGTGACCGAGAGGTCACAAGTTCAAGTCTTGGGAGTGGTCTCTTATCAAAATTTAACATGGAAAGACTCGCTCCTTATACACTGTTGTGGTGGGACCCTTCCCAGGACCTTCGCCTTGTGAGTGTACTGAGATGCCCTTTTTTATATGAGATTGGGAGTATATTGTAAGCTTTATGTAAAATTATGTAGTATGCCTCACAATTAATGAGTCTTGTTTCCATCATTTGCAATGGAGCCAAAGATTCACTATTTTTTGGCTTGAGAATATGATGGAATAAATCAAAATGGCTCACTAAACTGTCTGCGCTTCTTTGTTATGAAGCAGCAGTCAGTCTATACAATTTTGGACGCGATTTTCACCATGGGTCATCCGGAAACAGTCTCTCTGTGCTTTAGTACAGGGGTAAGACTCCGTACATCCGACCCCCCCTTACCCTACCGTAGGTGGGAGCTTTTGCGGCACTGGGGTAATGATAATGATGATGATGATGATGATGCCTCAAAGGAGTCAAAGCAAATTGCTTCTAATCAATGTTAAGAGTTCTTTTGTTCCATGCTAGTTATTTGCTAATTACTAATTTTTGCCTAAATAAATGACTTGGACAGCTTGAAATTGATCCAAAACAGAATGCTAACCTCGCTGCCTGTCCACCCCAAAGGTCTTTCATTGCCCCGACTGTAGTGCATGTTATTAGACCAAAAGAGGTTGAAGACAAAAGGAAAGACCTTCCAATAGTCATGATGGAGCAGGAGATAATGGAAGCCATAAATGAGAACACTTGTGTCATTATTTGTGGTGAGACTGGCTGTGGCAAGACTACCCAGGTTCCACAGGTGATAATTGCTTTAGTTTTTACTTGTTTTCCATGGATTATAATATGGACAGTTTTGGTAAGGGTTATTTGGCTGAAATTACAGAAATTATTGAAATGGAAGTGTTTCATAGCATCCATTTCATCCAATTAAGCTAGTCAAAAGCTACCTTTTGGCATTGTACTCCCTTTCATCTTTACCTTTTGGCGCGAATGTGTTTTTTCAGTTCCTTTATGAAGCTGGGTTTGGATTGCATTCTAGAAGAGGTGGGATCATTGGTGTAACCCAGCCCCGCCGGGTTGCTGTACTTGCAACTGCCAAACGGGTGGCCTTTGAGCTTGGTTTTCATCTAGGCAAAGAGGTTGGCTTTCAAGTCCGGCATGACAGGAAGGTGGGAAATAACTGTTCAATCAAGTTCATGACGGATGGAATATTGCTGCGAGAAGTGCAGGTCTGTAACAGGTCTATAGCTGTGCTTGTTATTCATAAGAGAAAAATTCTCTCCTTAATGGCTTTACATCTTTGTTTGGTTAAAGTGAAATAGGAGAGAAAGAATCACGAGGAAATTGAGATTTTTTGTTGTTTGGGGGAGAAGGGGGTGAAAATGGTGGCTCCCGCCTCTGTATTTCTTTTCTCTTTGGGAGAGAAATGAATCTCCCGATTTCTACCCATAAATTCTACCAAACAACACAAAAAACCATATTTCTCCTTTCTCTTCTTTTTCTCACCCATTTACTTCTTCTCTATTACTTCCTTGAACTAAACAAAAGCTACAAGTATAAGCCAGTCCTCTTGTGTGCACATTTTTCTACAGCTATTTATAATTTATATCACTAAATGCAGAATGATTTTCTCTTGAGACGTTACTCAGTCATAATCTTGGATGAAGCTCATGAGAGAAGCTTGAATACAGATATACTTGTCGGGATGCTCTCACGTGTAATAAGAGAGCGCCAGGTAATTCCATTTTATTTTCCTCACCAATTCGGTTTTGTCAAAAATTCACCCTTTTATTCGTTTCCTTATTCTCTGTTTCTTTTCAGAGAGAATTTGTGGAGCAGCAGAAGAGAATACTATCAGGAAATACTATAAGTGACGAAGAAAAGATATACCCTTTGAAACTTGTGCTGATGAGTGCTACGCTTCGAGTTGAGGACTTTGTGGCTGGGGGAAGAGTTTTTCCCGATCCTCCACCCGTAATAGAAGTCCCGACCCGTCAATACCCAGTCACCACACACTTCTCCAAGAGAACTGAGATTGTAGATTATGTTGGTCAAGCTTACAAAAAAGTATTGTCTATCCACAAGAGACTTCCTGCCGGGGGCATACTCGTCTTTGTAACTGGACAGAGGGAGGTGGAGTTCTTGTGCAAGAAGCTAAAGCACGCTTCTAAGGACATAACTGAGAAAAAAAACTTTGAAGAAAAAGACCAGTCATTGTCTTCGATGACACCTTCTGAGGATAAAGATATGAAGGAGATTAGCGAAGCATTTGAGGTAAATGAAAACTCAAAGCTTGAAATAACTGAACGATTTAGTTCTTATGATGAGGAACATCCAGATACCTATGAGGATGATTGGGACATTTCCTATGATTCAGAGGATGATAGTGATCTGGAAGTTTCTTCCGATGGGGACGAACAGTCAAACCAACATTTATTGGAGTCTGGTGGAACCCTTGATTCACTAAAGGCTGCTTTTGAATCTTTGTCTGGAAAGAAACCCGTACTGTCAAATACTGAAAGTAAGTCAAATGCGCGGAGTATTCCTCCATGTGCGGGTCCCATGCGTGTCCTACCCCTTTACGCGATGCTTCCTGCAACCGCTCAGCTTCGAGTCTTTGAAGAGGTCAAGGAAGGAGAGCGTCTTGTTATTGTTGCTACAAATGTGGCTGAAACCTCTTTGACTATTCCCGGAATAAAATATGTTGTTGACACGGGCAGAGAAAAAGTGAAGAAGTACAACTCCTCAAATGGGATGGAAACGTATGAAGTGCAATGGATAAGTAAAGCTTCGGCTGCCCAGCGTGCTGGTAGGGCAGGAAGGACTGGACCTGGTCATTGCTATCGCCTTTATTCTTCTGCGGTCTTTAATGACATATTCCCTCCCTTCTCAGATGCTGAAATATTGAAAGTGCCTGTTGATGGTGTTGTGCTCCTCATGAAATCTATGCACATTGGCAAGGCAAGTTTTAGTATTTCAGATGTGTGTAACTGTAAATATTTGAAAATGTTGTTTGTACCCACCCTCTTATACCCATCTCGGTGAGAGGCTATTTTTTGTGAACGGGATTCACAGACAAAAAAATAGCCTCTCACAGAGGTGGGTATAAAGGTGAGTATAAGAGTGGGTACAAGTAGCAAAATTGTAAATATTTTTCTATTATTATGACACATCTGAGTAATGTGCATTTTTAATTTCCTCTAATGATAGAGAAGTAGAGAACTGATAAACTAGTCTCATTAGAAGTTCTTTCGTGAGTCAGTTATTGGTCGTAACGTTGCAAGTTTATTAATTTTAGAAACCTAAATATGCATTTTAAAAATAAATCTAAGAAACGGAGCATTAACATTAAAATTACATTTTCGGCATATAATTTTACTAAACTGTCATGTTTAGCACTGATTTTCCTTATGCTGGATTTCAACGGCACTTTGTAATGGTCTTGTATGTGTAAAGATAACCTACACGAAGTCAAAGTTACTTTTTGGGTTCTGCATATGCATGACTAATGGGACCCGGACAATCTCCTTGTAATTTCAGGTTGCAAATTTTCCTTTCCCAACCTCTCCTGAAACCGCTGCCTTAACTGAAGCAGATCGCTGCTTAAAAGTTCTAGAAGCACTTGACGTGAACGGAAGGTTGACGCCTCTCGGTAAGGTCATGGCACAGTTCCCGATGAGTCCACGTCACTCCCGTATGCTCCTCACGGTCATTCAGATGATGCGAAGAGTCAAAAAATATGAACGCGCAAACACCGTCTTGGCTTATGCAGTTGCATCAGCTGCAGCTTTGAGCTTATCAAATCCTTTTCTAATGCAGTTCGAACAACCCCAGAGTGATCAAGGTGAGAGAACTGATGAGAAGGAAGAAAAAAAGAGGAAAAAAAAGTTGAAAGAAACCATTAGATTCTCTAGGGAAAAGTTCTTAAACCCCACTAGTGATGCGTTGACCATAGCTAAAGCTTTGCAGTGTTTTGAACTGTCTGGTAATCCAGTGGCGTTTTGTAGTGAAAATGGATTACACCTAAAGACCATGGAAGAAATGTCCAAGCTCAGGAAGCAACTTCTTCATCTCGTCTTTAACTCAAAGGGTATGTCTGGATCACAAAATAATCAGCAAATGAGAAAAAATGCCAAAGCCGGTTCTTTCTTATGCTTGGCTGTACCTTGGATAATACCAGATGAAACTGAAATATGATTAGTTTTTTAAACTTTAAGAGCCTACTTGGTAATGGTCATTTGGCTGGATCCATCGATATTTCTGAAAGGAGAAGTATTTGGTAAAATCATTTCAGTCAAATAAAAAGTGAAAAGCTATTATTATGCTTATTCAAATTACTCTGCTTAGGAGCAGAATAAGCTGAACAAGACTACCAAACAGGCTCTAAAGTAAATCGGTTGAGTTTTACATTATATTTATTTTTCTAAACATTTTCTTTCCCACTAATTTTCTTCTATGTTTTATTTCCTTTCTATTTTCCCCTAGTATCTGGATTCCAAACGGACCCAAAGTGTGACGGACAGAATGGTTTCTCATGGTGCCACGGGACGATTGAGGATGTAGAAGCTTCATGGAGGGCTTTCTTGGATAAGCATAATTCTCTCCACCTGAATGAAGAGGAGATAATTGGGCAAGCTATCTATGCAGGTTGGGCTGATCGGGTAGCCAAACGGATCAAGCGAATTTCGGGACTGTCTGAAGAAGACATGAAAGCAACCTCAGTTCGTTACCAAGCTTGCATGGTAAAAGAAACGGTATTCCTCCACCGTTGGTCAACTGTTTCAAAGTCCGCACCTGAATTTCTTGTGTACAGTGAACTTCTGCATTCTAAAAGGCCTTATATTCATGGAGCAACAAGTGTGAAAGCAAATTGGCTTATTAAATATGGTCAGTCTATGTGCAATTTTTCAGCCCCACTTTCTGACCCGGAACCATACTACGACCCTTTAACCGACCGGGTTTTATCCTGGGTTATTCCTACTTTTGGGCCTCACCTGTGGGAACTCCCACTGCATTCTTTGCCCATCGAGGACAATACAAAACGGGTCGCAGTTTTTGCCTATGCATTGCTTAAAGGTCAAGTCTTGCCATGTTTGAAGCCCGTGAAGAAATTTATGACGGCCACACCGGGTACCATTTTGAGACCGGAAGCATTGGGAGTGAAACGGGTCGGGAATCTCTTGAATAGATTGAAGAGTAGTAGGGTGGGAAGTATTGACAGTTGGGTCATGCTTAAGAAATTGTGGGAGATTAACCCCAGGGAGTTGTTTCCAGAAATAATGGATTGGTTTCAGGAAGGGTTTCATGACAAGTTTGAAGCTCTTTGGGAACAGATGCTCGTAGAAATTTGTTTAGATCCAAAGCAACGTTTGTCCAAGAAGGTCAAGAGAAGCAGAAAGAGGATCCTAAAGTCCTAAGCTTTGCTCGCCTCTGGTTACAGACGGAACCACACTAGAGGAGTAAGGGGGTCTCACCCCTAGTTTTGATATCTATTAGTTGGTATTTTAGTAATTATAAAATTATTAACATTAAAATATTAGTGATTTTATGAATTATAATTCCGAAATTTCATGATGTATTGATGCAAGGCAAGCAATGCACTGAAGTATGAAGAGCCTGATCTAGATTGAGGGAGTGTTTGCAAATGCTTTTGCTTTAAAAAAAGCAACTTTTGAAGTGATTTTGGAAAAAGCAAGTCTGGGACCTGTTCGGTTGTCATATGAAATTAGTGATGGACCGGGCCCGGTCCGGTTCCGAACCTGGCCCGGCCGGGCTTTTGGTTTTGTGAAGGAAGCGCGGACCCGGCCTGGGTGTCAGGCGGTACCGGTTCAGGCCGGGCTACCCGGCCGGGTAGCGGGTCGGGTCGGGTAGTTTAATTTTTTTTTGTATTGAGTTTAAGAAAGTAAATACAAAAGTGCTACATAAAAAAATGAAATACAAGTCTACAATTGAGAATTAGGTAAAACATTAAAACATGAAATGCATTTACTAATAAAGTGATAAAGAATAATAAATCGGAGTCTCCGCCAGACCGCCACCGTCGGTTGCTGTTTTCTTCATAAAGTGTTGGGTGGCCAGGTGGGGGTACCGTATTCTTGTGAAATTCTCAACCATACATCTTTCTTGCAATGGTTGCAAGTTGCGTACCATTTCTTGGTTTGTGGGTCTTTCCACTTTTCAATTTTATTTTCCACAACTACTATAAGTAAATAACAACTATATAATAAGTAGATATTAAGTATATAATATATGTATTTTTAACTTATAAGTAGATAATAACTATATTAGTAGATATAATAATTGTATAACTAACATATAATATAATGTTTATAGTATATAATATATAAGTATATTAATAGGAAACTAATATAATGTTTATAATATAGTAGTATTGATATAACAATACTAATAGGAAATTACTAATATAACTATATAAGTATATAACAATACTATAACATTACTAAAATGAATATATAATATTAGAAATAATAAGAGTAGTGATAATAATTAAGAAAGTGGAGAAGAGTAGTAGATGTAGATGATGAAATTGATGAATATAGGAGTTGATAGAGAATAAGAGAGTAGAGAAGAATGAGTTGTGTAAAAAAAATGAAATGAATAGGTATTTATAGAAAAAATTTCTATAAATTTTGTAGTCTCGGAATCGCCCCTGGTTATTTCCCGGTCCGGTCCTAGGCCCGGAACCGGTACCCGACTAACGGGCCGAGCCGGGCCCGCACAGTAACGGACCGGTCAGGTTCACGGGCCGGTTGGTCCGGTACCGGTCCAAGACTATATGAAATTAGTGGAACCGTTATAAAAAACTTTAGTACTAAAATCGGTTCGGTTCCTATATAAAAATCTAAGAACCGTTATGGAACCGAACTAATTTTAAAAATAAATTTTTTATTTTTTAAAAAATAAGTACAGTTTATTTTTTAGAACAAACAAATGTTGAAAATACAAAACACAAGGAATCAATACTTTTTTTTTAAGTTTTAATCACTTCAAACATGAAGTCCAAACTTAATTCAGTAAACACTTGATAGAATGATTTTTTTTTTGAATTTTCATTTGTAAATGAAATAGGAGAATCACTGTTATTTGATATCATAGTACCAAAACAAGAGGTCTAGTTCAAGTACCACCAAACTTTAAAAACACATTGAATATACATGTCAAATACACACATTGTTACATTTCAAATCCCATGAAGCACTATTTACTTGAATTTCTTTTATAATTTTGAAATTTACGTCATGGAACATGATTTAATTTGTAAAAATTAGTTTAATGTATTCATCTTCATATACAATGATTTATAACATCCATTTTTATCAGTTAAATTTATGATGTTATGTAGCTAAATGTTACGGAGTATATTGTTGTTAGTTACATTTATTGTTGTTATTATTACTAGTATTGTCACTATTATTATTGTTATTTCTAATATTATCATTGCTATTATTATTACTAGTTATACGTTCTTTCTTTTATTTTATTAATAACGATTCAACATATTTTTTGCAAGAACCAAGAACCGAGCAATTAACAAAGAATAGGAACCGAACCATTTACAATTTATAACTTATGTGTAGGAACCAAACCGAATCGGATTTTAACGGTTCGATTCCTAACGGTTCTCCGGTTCCTGGTTCCAAAGTCCCACCCCTAGTTGATAGTGTTTGAGAAAAAATGATTTTGAAAAGTAAAAGTTGATAGTGTTTGGAAAAATATGTGCTTTTTGTGTAATAAAAAAAGTAAAAAGCAGTTTTCTGCCAAAAGTCGAAAAAAGCTTTAGTAGAAGTTTTCATTTGAAAACATTAATTTTAATTTATTTAAGCCAAAAGTCGAGAAACGCTTTTTTTAAGCGATTGCAAAGAGACCCTGAATGGCTGAATCCCAATTCACCAAAAGCTTTTTTGGGTGGGGTACCCTTTTTTCTATAACCATTTAGTTTCCTTAAATGTTTCAAGTTCAATGCGTTTGTGTAAACTCTTAGGTTATGTTTGGCACAACAAGCTGGAACTAGGGGCTAATGTCTGAAATAGGGGCTATTGTCTGAACTAGAGACTATTGTCTGGAGCTGAACATTGGAGTGCTGAATCTAAATTGTTAACTGAATGAAGTAGACCTGTTTGGAAAAAATAGCTGAAACATTGCAGGGATAATATGAAATGACATTAAAGGACATATGAAGATTTAATATAATAAATAATGATTTTTATATTTTCAGTCTTTGTTAAATTTTATTACATATATTTATATATGTACGCATGTAATATAATATAATATAATATAATATAATATAATATAATATAATATAATATAATATAATATAATATAATATAATATAATATAATATAATATAATATAATATAATATAATATAATATAATATAATATAATATAATATAATATAATATAATATAATATAATATAATATAATATAATATAATATAATATAATATAATATAATATAATATAATATAATATAATATAATATAATATAATATAATATAATATAATATAATATAATATAATATAATATAATATAATATAATATAATATAATATAATATAATATAATATAATATAATATAATATAATATAATATAATATAATATAATATAATATAATATAATATAATATAATATAATATAATATAATATAATATAATATAATATAATATAATATAATATAATATAATATAATATAATATAATATAATATAATAATATAATATAATATACACACAACATAGTGCATTGATTTCAAAAAATCCACAACATTCTAGTACGCGATTAGAAATAAAAAACCATAAAATTAACATTTTAGTTGGAAATAACTGTAATAGATAAATATGCAAACATGAACATCGTCATAATTGACTAATCAGCGTGAAAATATCTAATGTCTGTTAGCCCATATTAAGGATGCTATATTGTTGCGAAGTTCCTTCATCTCACTGCAACTTTGTGTTTGTGAACCGGTGGTACTTGAAGTTGAGTTCTGAATATCAACAAGATCATCATGTGGTATGAAGTCTGGATGGCGCTCGAGAACCTCAAAAATCAAGTCATCGCTAGAGAATTTGCGAATATAATTGTGCAAAGCAAATGTTGCCATAATAACGTCTATCTGCGTTTTAACGCTAAACATAGGCATTCTTGATAAAATTTTCCACCTCTTTTTCAAAACACCAAAAGAACGCTCTATGCAACTACGAAGAGATGAGTGTGAGCGATTGAAAGCTTCTTGAGCATTTGTTGGTGCTTCATTTTCAAATTGTTCCAAGTGGTATCGTAGCTTGGGATAAGGAACGAGATAACCTTTTCGATCTGGATAGCCTTTATCCACCAAATAATATCGACCTACATAAATTTTACAAATATGATAAAAATTATGTATATGTATCTAACAAATTGACAATAAAACATACCTTCAGGTGGATGTGGAAAGTTCAATGAGGGTGTCTCAATAGCATGAAGGAATACACGTGTATCATGGGCCGATCCCTCCCACCCTACTAATAGAAATGTAAAACACATGGTGAAATCACACACAGCCATAACATTAAAGGTTGGGACACCTTTTCTTCCTCTATAACGAAGTTGTTCCTTTATTGGGATGCACGCTGCTATGTGTGTTCCATCAATACACCCGATGCAATCCTTGAAATAAGGCATATATCTTTTATCCTTTGAGATATGATAAGGGATATACGGAAAGGCCCGATCAGTTGGTGCAATCATATCACGTGCAAGTCCCTTGTATCCCTTACTCCTACCCGTGATGGATTCTAAGACATCGTGAAATGCTCGACTTACCGTTTCTCCAGATCTCTGGAACCTCTCAGACACATCCCGGTTTGAGAGCCCCAAAGCTAAAGTGTATATAAATATACCTACTTTTTCTTCAATTGTAATTTTGTCACTTGATGTTAAACCATATTTTAATTGCAAATCCTTACATAGGCGTGCAAATAAATTGGGAGACATCCTAAAGGCATTAACACAACGAATAGGATGACCATTTAACACCTCTTGCATCCAAGCCGCCCCGCTTAAAGCTGATGTCATGCAAGGCTCCTTATACATATGCTTGTAATAATGGGAAGCAATAATAGCATTTATATCATGAATAGTAATTCCAACCATAATAAGAAGCATAAACTCATCATCATCATCATGGCTCATTATATCCCTATAAATGAATGAATAAATTAATTAATTAATTAATAAATAAATAAATGAATATAATAATAATATAAGGATACTACTCTTAGAAAAACAAATCCCCTGAATCTCAACATATAAAAACTAAAATCAAACATCCATTCTAAATAAATGAATTTGTATCCTAAATGTTGCTAATGACATAACATTCTAAATGTGTATGTCGAAATAGCATACTAAATGTACTTAAAATATTCCTTTTGCGTGCATAAACTTCAACCAGTTGAGCCTTTCATCGTCATCTTTAAAATTCATGAAGAATTGTCTTCGACTAGGACTGTCAAGAACACAAATGCTCTGAAACCATAAGTCACCATTCCTGACCAGCCCACCATTCTCAGCCATTCTGGTCATAATTACCATGACATCACCAACACTAACACAATCATCAGCAACTTTCTCCTTTTTAGTCAAGAGACGCTCAATTGCTTGAAGACATGTATTCCCCCTCTCTAAATTTTCACTTAGTTTCACCGATCCCTTAGACTGTCTTAGTTTACGCTTCTTACTAGTGGCAACGGTCCCTGCATCTTCAACAGTGGTAATTGTAGGAGCAGAAGGCATGTTCCCACTAGCCTCTTGCATAAAATCTTGAAAAAAGTTATCCAGATCTGGTTCAGCATTATATCTGTTAAATACCTCGTAAGTATCATTGTTATCCTCCAAGTTGACATTGTCTTCGTGATTTCCTTGATTGCTATTCTCCAAAATTGTAGCCGTTGGAGCCACGCATTCTACTCCAGTGACTACTGAGTCCCCAAATATTTGATCCCATTGCTCTTCAATATGCGGCAAAACTCCTTTATGCCTGAACTTCTTAACTTCTGATTTTTCCTGTACAATTTTTTTTAAAACTCAAATATTCTAGTATGTTGAAATTCTAAGGTAATAAATTGTACAAACTATTATACATACCTTAATTTTTTTACCCCACCATTCATCTGAACAATCCAGCGTGCCAGTGGATGCATTCCAACCCAAACCAGACTCATCACGCTTCAATAATTTCCATAATCGCCATTCCTTTTTCATAAAATCAAACTTATTTTTCAAGCTTTTAAAAGAACATTTCCTTTTTGTTCTCTCCTCGAACAAAGCTTGCATCTCCTTCCACCTAAATTGTTGTCCCCTCCCATTCTTAAGAATGAACTGAATGCATATTTCATTAAAAATTCCGATCGTTTCATCGGACCAAATAAAATATCCTCCATCTTCTTTCTTAGACGACATCTGAAAGGCTCAACCAGCAATATAGCAAATGCAAAATGAGAAATTTGCATTATAAGGGTGGAAAATGAAACCAAGTTATGATAGAGAATTATTTGTCCATTTTTATAAGTCATGCAACAACTCCTAGCCACTTTAAACCATCCTAAAACTACTCATGTTTGATGACAATTTGCATTAAAAAATCAGATTTTTTCCCCTTTTTCAACGAAGAATGCCTTAAATAAATGATTGGAATTAGAAGAGAGCTAACTCTGACATCAAGTGACCCACAATTGGAAAGCAGTGACAGAAAACAAAATGTATACATCCAGAGAAGGGGGAGGGAGAGAGAGTACGCCATGGAGGATTGGATTCTATGCAGTACTCAAGGTCTTGGAGTTGCTCCATGGTAGGGTGAGCAATATCTGCCATTGACATTTTTGAGGTGGCCAAATGGTTCACCACTGTAAACTATTCCTCTTTCACTGTCCTCTTCACAAAACAAAATTAGCAAATTAGCAATACTTTTAGGCCAGATCAGATCAGGCCTAACAATTAATAATAGCTGACAGTTTGTTCATTTGGATTACTAAAGCGGCAGTAATGTGATAAATGGAGTATTGTCACCATAAATTCACAAGTATAATTTCTTGACACATTGATGGTAATTTGTATTTTTATGAATAATTTCAAAGAAAAAAAGCACATCAATGTTAGAAATAATTTTTCGTTGTTTTTTTTTTACTTTTTTCAATAAATAAAAATAAAATGATCTTAAGTAAAATTTGACCTAAAAAAATCAGCTTTTGAAACTTCATATTTTTTAATTTAAATATGCAATATTGCTGTAATATGAAAGATCTTAAAAAATTGTGAATTTCGATATATTTTTGTAAAAATTGAAATACAAATAAAAAAGTTTTAATACATACAAAAAAGATGATTTTTTTTTCTAGGACCCGCGGTTAACACCATATCTTCTTTCTTCCCTTAATAACCTTGACCACGAACTCAAAAGTGAGATGTAGTAATTACAGTCCCACTAACCTCTATGCCACTTGTGCAAGGAATCTGTTATTTTTCGAGTCTATTGCCCTACTAAAAAAACCCTCCCAACCCCACTCTCCACTTTAACCCCTACCTTTGCTCCCCGATGTAATAACTTGGACTTCTAATAACTTTGGATTTGGAGTGATCAAACATTTCAATAAGCCACATGTTACTCGATATTCACAACTTAGTCAATTTATATTCACCTTGTTGATATTTTTACACAAATAATAAACCTCAACCGTTCGATTAATTGAGAAAAATGCTAACTCCTTATAGTTACATATATTTAGAAAATCACACATTTCAAAATGTGTTGATAATTTGTTCTATTTAATATCACATAATCTGGACTATTATGTCATTTTTGGTTGATCAGATAGTATCAAACACAAATCTACCAAGAAATGTAATTTGTTTTACTTTTTTCCAAATAGCCATTGCCACGAGCATGCCCTCTGTGCGCTCCAAACGAGTAATTGACATGATTGGCAAGCAATGTGTGTGAGACTGTTGGCAATCAGTCTGTTTGTATACTTTTGACTTAATGGATTTAATAGAAAATGTGACTTATAAGTTCAATTATATGTTCATGTTTATTTAGCACTTAATATAAAATGTGACTTATTCGCTCAGATCTTTCTTGACTTATTCATTCAGCTCATTTTTAGTTGTCCTTGCTATACAGACCATCCATTTACCGATTACCAGAGAGTTTGCCTTTTACCCTGGCTTCTCCGCACTTCTTCCCAGCGGATACCTGCCTTCTTCTTCTCCACCCCTTCATGACTTGGTTTCTCATTTCTATTTGCTTTCATATTCAGCTTCAGCATTCTAGTAGCACTTCACTAGTAGAAAAATCGCAATAGATGATGAATGAATGTAAGGAGTGATGATTATGAAACTGGAGAAATTGACAAGGCTGATCTTATATTTTTTTTTTAGTTTTTATTAAATTGACAAGTAATTGAATCGTGGTTGGCCAGGGTCACAGATTTAATTTTTTTCTTTTGTGTGCGCGCCTCCTTGAATTCGGAATTTATTAGATTGCAATTTGATAAGGTTTTGGATTAACCTTATTCCTTACACGCACATGCTCAGATTTCTAATGTTATTTTTTGAATAAGTATAAACAATGGAATACATTGTGTGCCTAGTTAGTTAAATACGGGAATTAAACGAGGTTTAATATGTACGCGTTTTATTCGGTAACATTAATGAAAAAACGGTCAAAAATACGTTCAAAAAAACGTTGACTTTTAAAAAACGTGTTAATACGTATACGTGTATAATACGATATGTGTTACAAAAATTCGGACAAAAAATACGGGTACTATTTTGAACATTTAAATTATATACTTCACAAAATAACATATATAGTAAAAAGAAATAAAAGTTTACACATATTCAAGTTGCAAATCTCATTGCTACATAAAAGAATAATTCTTAATTGCATAAGTCGATGATAAAAATAAAAATAGTAATTAAGTCCAAGACATGATCTTGTAAACAAATGTCAACAAATAAGACATAAATATAGATTAAGCCTAAGTTAAAATGTTTATCTTTATATGATCATCAAATAACACTCAATTTAATTTCATCATTTTCATCAAGATGATGGATGACATATGTGACTGCTACGCACGCTTCTTATTGTTTATGTGTAAAAGTTTATACTAAAAAAATGCCAGGTTTAGAATAACTTTAATTTTGACATGCTTATTTGGAAAAACATCAGAAATCTAATACTCTGTAGTATTTTAAGTTTTAGTCTTTAAAAATGTTAGCTTTAGCATCCATACAATTCATTTTAGTATTTAATAATTGTATTTTAGCAATACAAAAACATGAGGTCACATGGAAGAGCTTTTCTTTTTTTCTTTTAAATTATTGTTGATCCCCTATATATTGATTTAATGTGTTCATTCAATTCATCAATTCATGTTTTTAATTTTTGTAAATTAAGGGATGCAAGCTTAAGACGCCATGCAATAAATTTTTGTATTTAATAATTGTATTGTATTTATTAATTTTTGGTTTTACACTATTGTTGATCTCATATGCATTTAATGTGTTTATTCAATTTATTAATTCATGTTTCTATTTTTAGTAAAATACGGGAAAAATACGTTTTATACGGGAAGTAGGAGTTTTTTTCCTTTTTAAACGGAACGACATTATTTTTCGTTTTAAACGTGTTTTTTTGTTTAAAAAAGCGGTACGCGTTTAAAACGGAAAAAAGCTAACTAGGATTGTGTGTGCTTAGGATGTGTTTTATGTGCTCTATTCCGTCGTAATTGATGACATCTATTGTGCATTGAGTTTGGTTTTCTTCATGGAGTCACATACACTAGGACTAGGATGCCTTCAGCTTGACAGTTTTGTACATTGTAGGTGGTGGAAGGAGGCACAAGACTCAACATTAACTGATGGGGAAAAGGGGACTTTATACACAGCGGCACCTGCTCCGTCTTATGGGGGGCGATGAAGTTAATTAACAATATTTTCAATTCAGACGTTTCTTTTACTTTAAAGAGGGGACGATTCTTCATCCCCAAACTTGTGACAATGGAGAAGTTGGGATATCCGGCCGTGATTATGCCTTGGTCCCGGGTGACATGTGGATTCAGGCGCTCAAGTGGTTGGTTGGTATATATCTTAAGTCGCCTGTTTTTAAACCTTTGAAATGAATCTTTTGTTATCATGCATATTTCTTGTTTATGCATTGGAATCTTTCTGCTGTTGCTAGATAGATTTTGCATCCTATGTCCAGCGTACTTGAGTTACCTAGGTTATCAACTATATTATGCATTGCAAGTTTTGAGGTAGTATTTATTTAATTATTTTATACTAAATCACTATATTTTTTGGCCATGTGCCATACCATTCTGATCTGTATGTAGGCACAGTGACTCTAAAACTTCAGAAAAGAACGGCAAATGTTTTTCAGCCACAGATGAAGATGGCAGCTCATTGGGAGTTAAGCTAAGCAAAAAGGTCGCCACTAACTTTTGTGCATTTACTCAATTAACGGTTCCAATGCGTTATGCACTTGTATGGAGTTGGGGGTCTACAAATGATATAATCTATCCATATTCTTCTTTCTTGTCTCAGTTTCGCTCCTCCTTGGCGCACCTCTAGAAAGGCTGGACGCACCTTTTTTCTCCCAGGAGTGGACATATTTGTCCTCCCTTCTTCGTACTCATGTTGCAAGTCCTGCATCGTTAATTAATTAACTATTCATTTAATATTAATACGTACTACCTCCGTCCCCCTGTTATTGTCCCATTGCGGTTTACGATTTTTGACTGACGATAAAGCAAACAGATCCCTGTCCGCACTAGAATTATTTTTAGGAGAAAAAAATTGCATATTCAGAAACTACATTAAAAAGTTTACAAAGTCGCAAAAACCAGAATCAAATTTGATAAAAATTTAATAAATAAAGTAAGAGATTAAGAGTTATTTGTGTTGACCAAGTGAATAGGAAATAAGACAATAATAGGGGGACGGAGGGAGTAGTACTTAATAGGAGTACACATGCCATATGCCAACACCCAATAGTTTTTTATCCAATAGTTTTAAACAATGTGGCAAGAAATTATTATTTTTATAAAATGTGGTAACTTTTTCATTTGTGTTCCAATTTTACAAACAATATATCATTATAATCTTTCATATGATACCAATATTAAACATATAAAACTAAAAAAAATCTAGTCATGTTTAAGCTTGATCCAATCAACGACTGATAAATGTATATTTTACTAAAGTTTCCCACATTTAGTTCTGAGTATTACCAAAATGATATTTTTAGTCCTTTCACTATCATTTTGACATAATAAGAGGGTGACTAAAAATGTAACTATTATATTAATTGAAAAAGTGTTACTTTTATGAAAGTCGAATGGCTAAATGTTGAAATTTTCAAAGGCAGGTACTAAAAGTCTAAAAGTATTTTTCGCACAAT